AACGATATAATATGAACGGAACATGGCAGTCACTATAGCAATTAGTAGCTGGAGAACCCTGTGCTAGTGCAAAAAAATTTGAAATTTAGACTCTAAGTGTTGTGATATCTTAAGGATCATCAATTCTACTACACTTCATTATCTAGAGCGTGACATTCAGTATAATTATAAAGAAATTCATTAATAAATCTTTTTGACAAATCAAAGATCGCGAATTCAACATAAATTGGTTTGTTAAACAGTATTTTAAGTTGATTCATTTCAATTATGGCTATATCATCATAAAAAATAACACTGCTATAAAAATTAGGTTGAGATATCGAAGTTTGTGCTCCATATTTTTCTTCTCAATTTGTAATTAATTTTATATTTTTAGAATTGCGTACATTTTCCATAGTTTTTTCATAGACAGCATAATCCATTAGTTTAAAAAAGTTTTTCTGAAAGTCATTTTTGGACTTTTTTCCCATGTTTGTATCTATACCTATATATTTTTTTAACCAAGCTGGCTGTTCAAACTGTAAAACTATAAATTTTAGTGATTTTCAAGCCAAGCTCGATACATTGTTGTTAACTTCTATAATGTATCTATCTGGTGATTGCCAATGTTTAGGGCATAATGCTAAATCTTTATAGTGCTTATGTAAGGATTATGGATAATCCAAGTCTACTTTAAAAATTAACCGATAGGAGAATGTTTGAGAATATTTGAAATCAAACCATTGACATGATCTAAATTAAACTTCTTAGTTAGCCATCTAAAAGAACCAGTAGGCAAGTATTGACTCATTGCTGCACCATAAAGATTATTTACATTAAAGTACATAAGATATAATCTATCTTTGATGATATAAGTGTGGGGATGAAGGAGTATGTTGCAGCAAATAACTTTACACTCTACTCTATGTTCTTACATTTATTCGAGCACAAACGTTGTCACGGGACGAAGACAGAGTAATGTCCCTTCATGTAACGATGGCGACTTTGAAATACTTCAACAAGATGGCTGTCAGGTGACAGTGCCAGAGTAAGGAAAATTGACATGTGGAGCTGTATAAAAAAAGAGATAGTGTGGAAGGATGGCATGATATATATTCTTTAATTAAGAAATTTTGGATTCATGAATGAAATTTTTCGTAGATCGTTCAGTAATAAAAGCAACCAAAGTTAAGTGTTAACTTTACAACCTCCTGGGAGACCCGGATTGTTATTCTTGGAGATCAAGTGATCCTTGCCACCTTCAACTTGCTGTACTGCAGCCTCCACGACCGTATCTTAGATTAGACTTCACCACGATACTTTCGGTGGTAAACTCGCACAAATAATTAGCGTTCTGTGCGTACAGAAACTTGACGCTACGTCATCTGAATACAGCCTTCGCGTCCGCGTGGCTGCTGGGCTCCGTTGGCGCCAGTATTTCTACTGATGCACATTTCAGGCTTCACCCATTAGTGATATATACGCCACAACTGTGGAAACTCATAGTACGTGGTTGGTAAGTAACGGTTGGTACTGGAGGTGACATTGTAGTTTGGCTGGCTAGATAACTCCACTGGGTAATGCAGGAAGCTGAAACAGTAGTTATCTTCCAAGAGTAGATTAGTAATCATCGTCCCCCAAAGGAGGCAAGAGAAGTCGCCATTTTCATGAGAAAGGGTCATAAAGAAATTCGTCTTCCGTTGTGTTATAATCTCTATGTGCTTCTGCTCAAGACTGTTTCTAATCTTTATGTGACAGCACGCTTTCTCACGTAAATTTCTTCAAGTGCACCTCAAGGTGAAGATAAGTGTGATTATTCGTGAAGAAGACGGCTCAAGCACGCGTTGGGACCTTAAAGCACTACTACCAAGGAATCCTGGGGCTGTGCAGGTGATACGAACAAAATCTCTAAGGTGTTCCCAACAACGAACGGACATACTAATATGAGTTCCAGCAGAGATCTACGAGTTGAGTAAACGAATCAGTCCATTAAAACAATCCTAGGGGCTTGGGGAGAAGCCACACGTATGTTTTCTGTAATCAACGTAATACTAATGCAAAAACCGGCTTGGATTCCGATTACCATCCTCATCGAGACATCTGAACTGACGTTGAGATCTGCATGAACCGGGTGAACAAATCCCGAGATTATTTGTAACTGTCTAATAATTTATTTCGGGTTGAATAAATTGTTATTTACATATAATTGTTAGGTCCGCGTCACTTAGAGTTCTTTGTAAGTTCCTCGTAGTGTCCCAAGGTTACATGCATATTTCAGCGTCTAGAGAAGTCCAGGAGCGCATAGTTTCCGATAGTTTTCGAGTCTCTTTACTTTTTTTTATCCTAAGGTCAGCGAAGGTTATTTCTGGAAAACATTGGAAAATCATCTCTAGTTTTTCTCGATCAGCTATATTCATTTTCGTTGCCTTTTCTCATTTACATTATTACATTAAAGTCATAATAATTACATTTACGTTGCTTAACTCCACTCCGGTTCCTGAAGACGACGACGCAGATCGAATTCCCCGCCACGGTAAGTGCCAATGAAAGATACTCATTTATCATCACATTCCCTTGTTCCTTTAACGATCCATTTCATACCCTAAATGCCCTAGTAAAATAAAAATTCTGAAATATTGAAAGAAAGAGATACAGGAATTTTCTATTCCATGAATCCACCAGCCTGACTTAAACTAGTCACCTTTTTTTTGGAATTTTTTTTGTTTTGGCATCTGATTCACCTCTTCTGCCAGAACACGTTTCAACGTAATTGCACATCGACTGGGCAATTACAACTGTCCAGACAAAAACCGACACTTCACCCTCTCTCACCTACGAGCATAGTCCCATTCAAAACTGTAAGATTATCATCTCAACATTCTTCCTCAATTTGACAGTTTTGGTTGTTAATTAATCCTAACTGATTTACGAAGAATATGGACTGTTCCTTATGGAGAGGTTTGGTGAGTATCAAATCCTTGCTTCTCCCGTCCGAAGGACGAAAATCGAGTACGTCGCTCACTAGGGCATAACTCTGGAAAATTATAACTCTACTCTCTTCATGATGGCGTTTCCCGGAACGCGTATACCTGCATCTTGGAACAGGGACAGGGATACATGTAACAAGCCCGAGGCCTTACAACATACCACCATGAGTCCGACCTCAATTGGCCAGTTGTACCTAGTCCTACATGTCATATTTTGACTTTGCAGCCCCAGGCACAGGGCTTGGAATTTGGCCTCCCGTAGCACCAACTTTATCTGCTTTGGTCGGCGGTCGCTAACGCGTCTCGCGCTCAGCGTGTTCGGAGTACCTATATTCAGACTACTATATAGCGCAGTACGAAATGGGGTACGACGAACTATAATCTGCCCCGTGCTACGCGATATATCTTAAAGGACAGAAACATCTATGTAAACCCGGGGGCCTAGATTTGGTGAGTATGTCAGCTACTTGATTTTCTGTACGAATGAACTCTACCTCTATAACTCTATTTTCTACTATTTGCTTTACAAAATTTGTTTTTCTTTCCATGGGTTTTAGACGTGTCTGATCAGGATTTTTTATCGCATAAATTGTACTTCGATTATCTTTAAATATTATTGTAATCTTAATAATTATTTCTAATTCACCTAATATTGTCTTCACCCAACACGCTTCTGCAGTTGCCTTAAAGAGTGTTACAAATTCAGCCGCTGTTGTGTTTAACGCAATTGTTGCTTGTTTTCGTGATTTCCAAATCGCTGTGTTATTAAAAACTCTGAGAGCATATTCAGTTATGGATTTTCTATCAGAATCCAGAATCAGGTCAGCGTCAACGTATCTTACTGATGATTAATCTATGATTTGCCGTATGTTTCACATACCTTAAGACTCTTTTAATTGCTAACCATAATTCTCTGAACTGTTTCGCTCGAAATCTGCGCAACTAATACAATAAAGTAGCTAAGTTTGGCCTTAAACCAACTGTGGCATGCATCAGAGATCCTATTATAGATCGACATTGCTTTTCATACTCTAATTCAATCTTTTGTGGCTTCTCCTGCTTGAAGTAAGCATCCGTAGGAGTCGTACATACTTTGCATTTCTTGATTGCATATTTCGTACAACATTTATTAAGTATTTTAATTGATTGATTACAATATTTTCACCTTTTCTTTGCATATTTATCTATTTTTATTTATTTACTTTTACATCCATTTGGTGTATTTGATAATCTCTGTAACACGCGATTGATAACAACACTCTCAAGATCAGCAGTCTCAATACCGAAGAATACACTTCACTCAAATCGTTTTCTTGTTGAAAATCTCTTACAATTAACATTTCTATTATTTATTTCTTTTATTGCAAACACCCATCTACAGTTCAATAATCTTTCATTTTCCGGTGCTGGAACTGTTGGCTATGTTTCTCATTTGTTTAACACCTTGATTTTCTCTTCAACAGCCTACCTCCATTCCTCTCGGTTTGGCCGTTTTTCTATCTCATTAAATGACTTTGGTACATCTTAGGTTTATCTTCAGCTGAAAATCCAAGAATCTGCTGGAGATATGGCGATAATTGAACTAGGTGAGCACCATCACTGCTGTTCTCGCAAACCATTGTAGATTCTATATAGCCGCCTGGATTTATTACCCATTTTATATGCTCACTGATAATAACGAGCTTGTTTAATTCAGTGATCAGATGATCGAGTCGTTGATACACACCTGGAGGCAAGCGGGAAGCATGATTTTCAGCATTTTTAAAATAATGAACATCAGGTACATTTACTTTAAAAAAATCTAGAAGATCAGCGTTATGTATGAGTATAAATAAAATATTAGTATGTATCCGAGTAAATTAAACAAAGTCATTGGAAGACTAATTTCTTTTAGAGACACGCCCCACCCACTAGTTAATTTAAGAGGCTGAGATAACTGCGTAATGAAGTGCGTTGTGGTGTTATCTGGAAAATAAAGCATGCCACTATTACTAGGTAATATTATGTGGAGCTCGTCTTTTTGTAAAGCCATTTTTATTTTTGCTGTTGCAATTTTCGACTAACTTTTGATATTTCCTCAGCGTAGAAAATACTATCGATATTTTTATAATCAAGATCTTGAAGTATGTAAACAGGTTGTTGACGGAACGTTGATATGCAAATAATTTTGAAAATTTCTTTACTCCAACCGCTTGTATATCCTTTCGTGAAAGCTGCTTTTGCTTTACTGACACGACCAAGATCACCAACACTATATTTAGGCTTTTTGGATGATTTTATACACCGCTTATTGTTCTTATATCTATGCTTCATGTTCAGAAAAGCTGTTAACTTATTGTTGAAATAAATTTCAACAGGCGTAAGTTTTGTAGCACTATGTTTAGTATTATTGTAAGCGGTGACAATTTTTTGTGAAACGTGGATGTATCGTTTTGTAGGTGTAAAATCAGAGCCCAAAAATTCTCTACCACGATTTGTCTGTAATATGCGCGGTAATCTTTTATTACTACGTCTAAAAATACGCTCCATTGCTTGAGCAACACTAAAACTTGTTTTTTTTAAGTAACGGCTCAACCCACACAAATTTACTTAAAACATCTATAACAATTAATAAATATTTAATGTTATCATTATAAGTAGCAATATTACGTAGATCAACTAAATCTGCTTCCCATACATCGTCAACATGTGAAACATTATACGTACGCCTTGAATAACACCGCCTCGTTGGACGGTGTACCGTGTAAGCATCTTGATTTTCTAGCCATTTTTTCACATTATCCCTGTGTATGTTTTTCGTATAATTTAGCAATTAGTTTGCATCAGCAAAACCTGCCAGATGTTCAGGACTGTAATATATCTTTTTAAGAGCGGCCATCACTTAAACGAAAATTTCAACCATTTATCTTTACACTTTCGCTTCGTAACTTCTAAGCCTATTGAAGATTTACTGCAACGAGCACTCAAAAATCAACAGCATCAGACGGCTATAACTCGCTGTATGATGGCATTGATGAAGATTCTTCAGCTATTATATCTGGTATGATGATTCGTCGTCTTCGTGATACACCTGTCGGCGAGGATGTTTTTACTTTTTCAGGATCAAATAACTCTTTATTTCCTACGTACTCCCGTAGCACGTAGCCGTTATGATTAACATGTACAAACTGGTCTCTTCCAATAGCATATTCATTTTTTCTAGCTCTCATGGCGTCATTCAGAAGATCTATAATATTAGATCCTGGTATTACTCGCCCCTCAATACTAACAAGCCCTGTGTTATCCCACGTGATAATATTATCGGGCATGTTTTTTAAGCGTCTGTAGAGAAGTTTTGTTTTTGACTGGAATTTTTTCGAAACACTATCAACAACCGATTGATTAACATTATGATCAGGTGATTTACATATTTATTTCCCTGTTTCGTGACCACATGTTGACGATTTTTTATTGTCGTTTTGAGTCAAATGCTGACTTATCGCTAGACGACTTTCATTGTTGATGAAGCGCAAATACCTTTCTAGCACTTGTGAATAGGCATTTCACTTCTTACGTTCAGTTTGATACGCTGTAGAGCATAATATTTCATCTATTCCTGGATCAAGGCGTGTTAATACGGAATTATAACTTTTATCTAACCTTTTCGTTAATAATTTCGTATCGGGCGATTGAAAATTTTTTACAGTCTCTTCAGGTATTGAAACCATTTTTTTAGCATGTTCCATTCTAAGCCATTAATTTACTTTGATATTAAGCTGCCCAGAACAGGGGCCAAAAGAACTGGTAAAAAACCAGCCCCTCTTTGTGAAATGATCTTCTTCTTCCCCTTAGCGCTTACACGCGAAGCTAAGAGCCGTAAGAGAGTAATGTGCCGTTTGAATTTACGTTTTTCAGGCGCGGTCAATGACACGTTGCCACTTACTATATTAAGAGCACCTTCACATATATATCGAACCATTTGAGGATCAGCTTTAAATAATCAGCTAATATAGCCGCTCGTTGTTCTTTGCTTAGATGAAATAAAGCACTGAGTATTGCTGTTTATTTCTTGCATGATGCATTTAACGCCATCACTGATTAATAACTGGTAAATTGCGATTATGTGTGCTCTTATTTATAGGTTTGCGTTGTACATAAACGTAATACTTCAGGTCCTCTGAAAAAATACACGTGCGGAATCGACAATTGTCAGGTGTTAATTGTTTCAAGTCTAGCAATAAGTAACCATGTGGTTGAGCTGCTATATCATAATATATTTCTCGGAAAAAGCGGGTATTTTTTAGGCACACTTATTGGGCTAAATGCTGGATCTGTGAGCGATCACGGAGATTTTTAAAATTTACAATGGAGTGACCATTCAACGAAATGTCATTGTTACGTCCTGACTAATTATCCTGAAATTAAATGACATTTCCAAGTTTAGGGAGCTTTTACAAACGATAAGTAAACAGGGAGTCAGTTTATCAAATTAATTCCCATGTAAACACACTTAACGGTTGTGAAGCTGCCGATAATACAGCGCTCTCACCTTAACGCGTTGGGAACCGCGAAAATTTAAATAGGGAAAACCGAAAAATTTTCCCGACGTGTGGAATATTAGATGAATAGATAAACGGAGAGAAAATATAATAAAAAAAATGAAAAATAAAAAAAAGGAAAAAAACGAAAAGTTTTCCAGAAACCTTTTTCTGTGTGATACGATTAATCAGAAAATAATATACGCGTAAGTATTAATAATAAAAGGAAATGATTCGAATTTTATCGTAAGACTCAATTTCTGTTCCTTTGCAACAAATTATATGTTACAAACAAAAAAAGTCGGTTTATAATCATTTTACAGAGTTCGTCACTTTATTTCAGTGCGAGAAAAAATTACGCGTTGGAAGAATTCAAATATATTTCATAGATTTTGATTTTTATTGTTTATAACAAATTTAATTGTCATGAACGAAAAGAGTAACTTTTCATTCATGTGATACGGCTGGTAACTTTTTTTCCAGTAGAGTAAAAGGTTAAAGGAGGTAGTCACAAGTCATATTAAAATTAATGACTCTAAGTATTTTACTTTATTTTTATTTATTTTATTCGAATTTTCTTACTATTTTACCATTACAATGAAACATGTAATTTCCTCTAGAAATACACATACACTAACCGCCCCAGTAATTTTATATTTCTTAGAACCAGTACGTGTTTCGATACAACACGTATCACAGGGACTGCCGTAAGAAAAACCGGCTCCATTCGTTAATGTTCAGTAGGCCTAACTCGACCAAAAATGTACAGCCTCCCCGGACTGACATCGACAGTAACTATAAATATAGTATTAATAATTATTATAACAAAGAAACCAGCCAAAGCGTTACAGCGTACGAACCACAAGACACCCAAGCCGACGAAAGCACCGTCCTGACTCCTGGGAGTCAAACGCTGTCCAAAAATATCGCAAAGAATGTCAATATTAGAATAACAGATTAACTTCGTCGTCTCTAACTGAACCTCCATTTTAACATTAATTCTACAAACGAAGTGTATGCATTCATAAAAGAAAAGCAAGTGGACATACTGTTATAACAAGAGCCCTACTCCACGAATGCCAGTTCACAAGATTACGCAGTAGGAAGATTTGGCCGATACCTTGTCGCCGCAAAAACCCATAAAGGGGTGGAACCCAAATCAGCTGCTGTAGTTAATCCTCTGTTTTAAATACTCTATATTGATGAATTTGATAGTACAGACTGTACTTATGCTCTCAGTAAGGGGCTTAAATATTCATTTGATGCTATTTCAAATTACTTAAGCTAGGTCGAAGCGGAGTGCAGAGCGAAACTTATGCGGAGGCAACCCGACGGTCGATATCGAAGCAGCCGATTGGCAAACCGTCGGTTAGTTAATACCCGAGCTGGAAAGCACACTTTTCGCTGGACCGTTGCAGTAATCCCTGTAAATGTCATAGTACAAACTTATTTATTTTTAGAATTTAACAAATACCATAAGGTTGTATAGATGAATGTTTTCTCAGATCCACTAGGTCCATCTACATAAATACAATTTAATATACTATTATTGTTGTTGGTATCGATAATACTTAATATGTAATCAACGACCAGTTTTGTTTTCGATTTAATCTGTAATATTGTTGAATTCCACGTTCATTGTCTTCTCCTCCAGCTTCGCTGTCATTCATATCTTCCGAATCTACGATGTCTCAATAGATGAGAACTTTCATAAGTCGGATCCTTTGTAACAAAGAATAGGATTTATATGCAGATGTGCTTTTTTTCTCCAAAAATTGATTCAAAACTTACTGTAAAATCTTCTGACATTGATTTCGTAAATTGTTCTCAAAGTTCTTCAGAGTGTAACAGATAACGACATCATAATATACGCACAAATAAATATCTCAATTGACATGAGTCGTTATAACAGGGGAGATTCTATTTCCATCTGCAATACCGGGCAGATTTGTTCCATATTATCGGTAACTTACTGCCTGTATTTCCGACCGCCGGTATTGCTTTTGTACCGACTATGGTGTGCTGATAACTTACCGGCCGTTGGCTTTATTGTGGCTGTCAGGTGGCGCTGTTCCTACCTGCAGTCGGTAATTCTATCGACTATTAATATTCTTTTATTGAATAGCGCTGTGCTTACCTACAGTCGGTAATTTTGTTGTTTTTTTTGCGAAGTCATGCTGTATTTCTTTACAGCCTGTAATTTCACTTCACTTTAATTGTCCTTGCTAGTTGAATCTATACTGATTTGCAGGCGAAATCATTAATATTATAATTAACGTTTCATTTTAATAACTAATTTTATTCAAAGTCATATCAATATACATAATTGAATAATTAAAAAATTTAGTAAAAAATTTAATAAATAAATTAATTAACAGTAAAAAATCAAATAATATTAAGCTGTTATCAGAATTTATTACTAAGCCACTAATATGATTAAATCAATGTGTATGTATAATATGATTTTTCTACTCTTTGATAAATTCAATTGATTCCTGGAGCTGAATAACCTTATTTGTGAATATTTTTAAAACATTCTTATTCGACCCATTTTCTTGTTGTCCTTGTGAATTCTTAGAAAATACATTATATCCTGTTGTTACCCCCTTTTACCTCACTTTATTTTATATTACGTTTTATGTTATTAATAAAAATGCAAGTCTTTGCAATAAAAGTTAGTTTTAATGTGACTGCGAGTAGCCACCATGGATTTCATTATTAATATGAGAGGATATCGTTACTTCAGCGGTGAAGTTGTTGTTAAAGAGTTGGCTTCTTGTAAACTATTACAATGTAACGTAACTTTTGAATATCATCATTCATTTGAACCACTATGTGATTACGGTGAATTATCCTCCAACGACCTATGGAATATCCTACAAGCTCAAAGATACCATCATGCACTCTCATGGGAAGTCGGTGATACATCATACGAAATATTCAATGAATATCTAGAAGAAGCATTCTACAATGTGCGCTACATTTTTGTGCGTGATTATGAGATGTAGTCTT